ACGTCGAAGCTCAGCGAAGATAGCAATGCGAATGTCTCCCATTCGCATTCTCACTCTCAGTCACAATCCAGCTACACGGATCCCGCCATTGAGCCTGGTGTAAGTGCGGCCTTATCCCCAATGGCAGTGCGACTTTCGAGCGATAGTTGCACCAACTACGAGGAATGGATTGACGGTCGCGTTGACGGTGGACCTCCGGGACCTGTAAGTCATTTGTTATTTTATGCTAGGTGCCAATTAACTTTCTGATCGTAGGTATCGCTTTCGCGGACATTGTCACGGACTGCGCCAGGTGTCCAGTCGTTTACAGCGCCGTCTACACCAGCGAGCTCGGTGTCCTACAAAGGTGGAAGGTCTACATTTTATCAACAACGTATCGGTCCGTTGTTTTATACATAGAAACTTACGCTATTTCTTTCATAGCGCAGTATGAGCTTCATTATGTTCCATTTTACAAACTACTTGAATTTATTCGATCATCTTGAAGTGATACTCATTGAACAACAAGTTAGACTAAGGGAAATAATGCAGTATTAAAACAACTGCTTGTGTTATGAAGTGAATCATAACCTACAGTCGAGTAGATTTTCCGCTTAATAGTGTGTTTGCACTGTAGGTGAGATGCGATGAAATTTGGGCGTGAACAAATATGCGTCAGTAATGCCGGGATTTTGCGCGCGCAGTTGGCAGGCGCCACAAGCGTAGATATTTGTTCACGCTCAAATTTTACTGCATCTCACCTGCAATGCAAGCATACTATATTAAGCGGCAAATCTACACGACTATAGCAGAATTTTCATAACGGAACGATACTTTCCATGTGTGCTAGATAGAACTTGGGATTTGAGTCTTTTCATTTTCAACATTTCATGAAGAACTAATCGTTCAGGATGTGAATTCTCACCGCTGGATGTGTTCCCTCATAAACGAGCGTATAGTGGCGACTCGACGCAAGAAGTTGAAGCCTCCATGTCTACTACTATGCCGGAATGTTCGGTATGACTTTGTTGGCAAAACTCCTTATTTGATTGAATTTGAGAGGAAAATGATAGAGGTTCTTTTTGCGTTCATCCTCATACTTACTCTGCAGAAAGCATGTCACGACCATTCACGTATGGACTGTTGTGACATGCCAAGCTGTAGTGCTTCCGTGCCTGATCACATCAAACGAGGATTGCATCAGAGCGATGTTGGTGATCTCCTAGCATAGACCCCGCTTTCAAACTAACACTAGCACCTCTTTCTGCAACAAACGTTGTATGATTATCTTTTTTATCTGCTATATATTCTAGGCTTCAACTTGTTCATCGTCATCGTATCAATCTTCTGGACCGCAGACGGATGCAGGATCGTTTCACCTAGCTCGAGTAGGACTGGATGATGAATTTCAATCGCCTACTGGTTGTGCTAATTACAAATGCATCAAGGTGGACTTGCTTTGTATCACTTAATTTCCTCTCCAATTTTTTCTTTGTTAAAGGTGAAAAATGGTGACCGTATGAACGAATTGATAACCAGGGCACTGGAGAAGCACCTTATAGAGAGTCCAGAAGACGAATATTGCCTTGTACAACTTCTTCCAAATGGAGGTATGTCTTTTGTTGCGTTGTTTTTCTTTTTCTTTTTGAAAGTTATATATTAGCGCTTTTCTGCTATTGATGACTTACTACAGGCGAATTTCAATTACCGGACAAATGCAATCCATATTATGCTGTGGCACCGGATCCCACATCCCCCATGTTGAATCTTTTATTGCGGCGAGTTTAAACTTGTCTTGATCTTCTATTTTATAACAAGTCCACAAAATACTCTATAATTTCATAATACTTGATTTTAGAAAACGCAAAAATGCATCAAATGGTGACGGATCGTCACCGCAGGTTGGCCCTGCAACGAAAAAGCTCAACAAAATGAAGAGGTCGAATTTGTTAAGGTGGAGCAGTGGTTATCTGTAATTTATACAGTTTTTTTCTGCAATCATCATTCTACTTATTGCTCCAAAAATGTTCAAATCAGTTGCTGTTAGCTAAGCGTATGTTTTATTAGTTTGAATTTTGCTTTAAGTTTATCATAACTTTGCTTGAGATCGTGATAATAGCAATAATAGTCACTACTTCCCCAATACTGAGTATGATAACGAGGTCGGTAGTGACCTCGAGTGTCTTTCTTTTGACATCTTATTTCTTTTTTGTCTATGGTCATGTGTCATTCACTGTTTCGTGAATCCACTGCATGGGTATGTACTAGTTCATTGTCTTTGTGATTTACATATGTGTAATTTTGGTAATTAACATCTCTTCCTTGAGAAAATCTCTTGTAATTTTCTAGAGAAAACTATTCTGCTTATTTATTTTGTAAGACTCTATCGTTCCCACTTCGCCTGCAATCGATTTGCTCAATGCTGAACATGCACAGTTTTATCTTGGTCGAGAACTCTGTGTAGTATACTTAATGCACATATGATTATTATAGTAGCTTGTTCGTATAATAATAATAAAATTTCCAAGACTATGAGAGTAAAGAGTAATTTCATCAGTTGTTTACTGTGTCTCCCTACTAATGATTTGCATAACAGTTCACTTTACCTTCGGTTGTTTCATACGGTATGTTCGTTGTTCACCCTTCTTGCTACACAAGTATTGTTAAAGTTCCTTGAGCAGTACCCATGCATCGGTTGCTGCCTCATTTGACATTCAGTTCAGTCTCTTGTAACCTCCACAAGCCACCCGAGGCTAAAAAAAA